CCTAATAATAGCAATGCGGGAAATAAAATTTTACTTTTGGAGCCTAAAATCATTACAAACCTCAACACTTAGCCAAAATTTTCTATCTTTTCGCCATCATTTTAGACCAAAACTAAAAAAAAAATTCTTTTTCTTTTCCCCATAGTTTTAGACCATTTTTTTTTCATAGAGAACAAAAAAACAAAAAATTATTTCATCTCTTTCCCCTTGGCTGCTTCAGCTTCTTCTCTCGCTCTCTCGACCTTCTTCTGGGTTTGGAATTTTTCGTTGACATTCTTCGAATCTTTTAGGGATTTCGTAGTCTTGCTCTATTTCAGCTTCAATTCGTTGCGCGTGTTTCCTCTTGGTCATCGTGTTTCCTCTTCCTCTCGATCTCTCTGCTCCTCCTCACAGATCCAACTCATCCATCGCCGGAGAAAATGGTGACTGCAAAGAAAACGGTGGGTCGTGTTCTCTCTCATCAAAGTTTCATTATTTTTTCATTATCTTCGTTTTGGATCTCAATGTACTTCACCACAACAATGTCTAAAACTATGCTTCTGGGTTTATGCTTTAATTGCAGAAGAAGTCTCACGAGGGTATCAACAGTAGGTTGGCTCTTGTAATGAAGAGTGGTAAATACACTCTTGGTTACAAATCTGTACTCAAATCTCTCTGTGGCTCTAAAGGTAATTTAGTCGAACACTTGGTGTGCATACCAAAATGTTTTAGCTTTTGTAGCTGGTTTTCTAAGTTAAGTCCTGGATTGTTTATACTCGCAGGGAAACTAATCCTCATCTCTACCAATTTCCCACCTTTGAGAAGATCAGAGATTGAGTATTACGCAATGCTCGCTAAAGTTGGTGTTCACCATTATAATGGAAGTAAGTTCCTTTCTTCTTTAGCTCTTATAGATTCAGAGATTACTTGTCCCCTTATATGTGTTTAGTGTTCATTAGGTTTTCGTAACTGAGAATATAGGAAAGTGTAAACGCACCTGCTTGTATTAGACCATTAAGTTGTAATTGTAAGTAAAGTGTTGATCTTTCTCAAAACCAAGATTCCTACGTCTTTAGTGTAGAATGTCACCTCGGCTTGAATTGGTGTTTGTGTCTCTCTGTATGTGTTTATTACGAATTACAAAAGTTGCATTCTTGCACAGTTTCAAGATTTCATCAGTTCCTAAAATTGATCGTTCTAATGGTTTTAATCCATGATTGATGATCTCGGTTTGTATTGGAGGTTGATTTTCTGATTTTTTGCAAATTGATCTTATTCTTTTACATGACCGAGAAGGTATTCTACGGTTTATAGGAAGGTATTGCTGCTCTTAACCTCTATGTCGGGGACGACTATGTCCCTGCAACTCCTGGTGGAGCTAGAGGTGTCAAAAGCATCACAAATTATGCCCGGTAAGCATTGAAAGTTTGAAACCAACATAGACTCACATATAAGAAGCAAAGAGCGTTGATAACCATGTTTGATTGCTCGTTTGTTTTGAGTTGTTCAGGGTTGTTTTGATAACCATGTTGATTTCTCGTTTGTCTTAAAGATATACCTCCCACAAAGTGTCAGTTTGTTGTTCTTTTGTCTTGTCTGATCAAATCGCTTCTTGATTAAAAAGCAGTTTGCAAGTAAACATTTGTATCTTTGCAAGTTTTAGTTTCGGTTTAGTAAGATATGCAATATTTCCCATTATTCATTTGTAGAGCCTTATACCTACTAGTACCATTCAAGTTGCTCCAAATCTAATTCTTTATATTTGGTTTCATTACAGAGAGCAGGCAGTAAAGCATGAGGAGGATAATTTGGTTCACACAGTTTCTAAAGACTATATCGATCCTAGAGAGAAGACGATCCCTAGCTAGTTTGAGATCACTTGTTCAAGATGAAATCTTCCTCTCTTCTCATTGACTTGAAGAGACCCAATGAATATTTGTTCAAGAGAGAAGAGACGAAAGACTCGTTCAAGATGAACTAGACTTGGCAGCAGTTGTGATTTTATTTTAAGACTTGGATTTATGTTATGCATGTTTTAGATGATTTATGAAATATAAAAATTATATATAAATCCAATTAAATATATTCTACGAAAAAAAAGATTCAAATAAATTGGAAAAATACTCAAGTCATGATCATTTA